GAATGCACAGAGGGGGCTTTAGGGTGCTCAGTGGAGGATCTGAAGTCTCTTTTCTACTGCGAGCTGTGTGACAAGCAGTACCTGAGACACCAGGAGTTTGACAACCACATCAATTCCTACGACCACGCACACAAACAGGTACAGAACGTACACCTAAAACACTCACTCTATATGGCAACACACACATGCACACGCACACACACACACACACACACACCAACACTCCTTCACCAGCTGTGGCTAACGAGCAGCCAGTGATCGCTCCATATCCATATACGCTGGTAGCGACAGCCAGTTTGGTTACATCGAGGCTCCGTGATCCACATGAAACGGGTGTTGTGGGAAATTATGTTCCCCTGAAATATTCTGTTTCCCTCAGGCAGTCAAGAGCAAATATTTCCAAATCCACAGAACTTATAGTCCGTTATGAGGACTAAACTAGCTCAAATAAAAGATGTTAAACTGAGTCAGATTACGTCGTTTTACACAACTTTCTAAATGATAAATAAGCTTGCTGCTAAAGAGTGAACAAGAATGTTTTTACTGCATCTTTTAATTGTTTTTAGGAGGAAATACAGTTAAACATCACAAGCATAACATTATTACATTACATAATTTTACCGTAAAAGTTGATCACAAATGTTGTGAAAATAGCCAGAAGTGCGATCTCCCGACACGGGGGGGGGGGGGGGGGGGGGGGGACAGAATATTTCAGGGGAACGCAATTTTTCACAACACCTGACCTCCCGGCTGATGTCACCCCCCCTCCGTGTGTGAATCGTGAGCGCTTCAAGAACAGAACTAGCTTGGTTGCTTCAGAACTGGTGGGTTGATGAATAGTCATACTTATAAATGCTTTTTAACGAGGTCGAGCAGCTCGTTTTGAGCTTTGTGTGGGTCAGGCATGTCGATGGGGTGAGGCTACACAGGTGGGAAACTGATCATACAGTCAAACTAGTGTTGTCAAAAAAATCGATACCTAGATATGAATCGATACTAAAAGTGGTATCTAAATGAGATATTCCATCCCTGTGGTATCGATATTATGGACTATTATACACAGCCTTCTTCACGTACACCGACACGCACGACAGCCAGATGCCGTAAAGCAGCCTCCGCCTCCCAGACAAACAGAAGAAGACGCCGCATGGCTACATAGCAATTTCCCACGCGAGTTGTCTCCGATCCAAGTTTTGTCTGCCAAATAAATAAACAAAAACATAAACAGCGAATTTGGGAGGCGCTTCACAGCCCAACTTAATTAGCATACCAAGTCCGACACGTAGTTGTATATTCGCGCTTATGTGCTTAAAGGAAACTCCCGTTTATTGCAACCCGGACTTAATTTCTAGCATGCAGTACGTTTGTTTACTCCCGCTGACAACTTTGGTGCTACTTGGATTCCCCGGGGTATTTAGATCCATCGGCGAATCGACGTCAGCGTATATCCATATAACGGGTGCGGACGGGCACCCATGGTGCAGCCTCGAAATAAGACATTATCTGCACCAAAACATCTTCATGTCGAAAGGTTTTGTTAGGAATCATTAACGTGATTCCCCTGTTCGTTTGGAGCGGGTCTGGGATTTCTAGGCGTGAACAGACTAGCTGCGGCTAATCTAATCGGCGCTTTTAATGACGTCACTGCCGTGCGCCAATCTGTTTTTATTAAGATTACCGGTAGATGTACCTTTGTCCTACTGTGGAGAAATTCGTTTTCTCCCTTTATTGACCAACAGAGTTGTTCAAAAGTACAGAACCAAACATACGGCATTACATCTTATGACAAAAATGCACCTTAAACAGAGTTTAAGCAGCAAAACATCACTCTGCAGATAGTGTATATATAGTGAGACAATTCATGATTTAAAGTGTTAACTTTCACCAGTTTTTGTAGGCACGTTTTAAAAAATTCTGATACTTGAAAGGTTTAAGCACTTAATACACTTAATTCTTAACATTTAATTTTTGCAATATAAATTGAGGAATGTTATTTTTTTGAATAAACGTGTTCGATAAATGTTTTTTTTTAATTGTATCGAAATCGAGTATCGAGTATTTTTTCAAGTATCGAATCGAGTTTGAAATTTTTGTATCGTGACAACCCTAAGTCAAACTCATGAGTGGGCCACCGTAGCGGCAATACTCTCTCTGACCTGCATGGCGCTAAAGAGTCACATTTTTTCATCCTGATCTCCATGGATTTCTCACATGGGGCCTTTAAACAATCCAAACTCTAATTTACATGAGAAACATGAGAAAAACAGAAAATCGATCCACCAAACCCACGAACCACCCATGGAAAATAATGACACATATTCATCGTTTATTCTTCAACTACACTGTTTTCAACAGGGAAATAGTGAAACTAGGACAGTCCACAATCCCTGCATCAGAAATAACTGTTTTCCATAAGGAAATAATAATGAAAAAGCTTTATTTGTGTTTCGACGGCCTGTGAGCGGGTCGTGGAGTTCTTTTTAAAGTAACAACAGATACTTTTAAACTTTAGGCTAGCACTTTAACATCGATCTCAGTGATCGGTGAGTTAGAAATGACCAGTTTCATATCTGACACCGCTCTGCTGCCCTCTGCTGACCACAAACCTCACTAGATAGTTCTGTGGAGAGGGTAGGTGCCCTATAGGGGGAGCTCTTTGCCTGTTTTACAGCTGTTAGCTGTTATGCTAGCTGTTAGCATTTTCAGTTTGCCAATCATCAATAAAAAGCACAAGAAGAAGAAAAAGAAGAAGTCTGCTTTTTCTGTTGGCATCATGGCGGAGCCTGGAAGTAAAAGTAAGAGAGTAATGTCTCTGGAGGTGAAGCAAAGAGTTGGAGGGCGCTAAAGGAGGCTACAAAATCACAGACTGATGGTGACCTGGCTTTGTTGCTGCTGGACTTGTAGTAATAATATTTTTGGCCAAAAGTGTGGATCTTTTTACTTTGTGGTTTATTTTAGTATAAGTTGCCTCTTGTTAGCGTTAGCTCGTTGTTAGCATTAGCTACAGCAGGCTGCAGCAGGGTTGTTTACCAGCAGGGCGGAGAAGCTGCTCTGTTACTTTAAATGAGATTTGAATAGTTTGGCAACACCGACAGCAGCTTTAATTTACTGTGGTGGACAAATTTATATAGAAGAATCTAGAAATACATTTAGTAACACGTATTCATCTGACAAAGTCTTCCTTTTTCACCCGACTCGGCTCAAATCAGGGGCTGTTTCGTCTCATCTGCAGAAACCGGACGCACGGTTCTACATCGATTTTTAAGAAGGCACCTCTGGCTTTGACCCACTTTTGCAGAACAGACTTTTACGGTTAATGAGCTCTTCCTCCCAGCTCTCCGCCACCTCTTATAATAAAACAAACGCTGACAAAGTAAAACACGATCCAGGTAAACAAAAAGAACGATGGTCATAAAAGTGGATCCAGAAAAAGAGTTGGTGATGAAAAATGTTCTGTTAGTTCTCTAAAAGAGTTTTCTTACTGAATGTTCATAATGAAGTCATGAAGAACAGTTGCCATAGCAACCAGAATAAATAAAAAGTCGTGTAAAAGCATTAATATAAGTTCTATTTTTATGTCATTAAAATATTCTCTTATTTGTCTCATCTGAAGTTTAGAGTTGATTTAAATGTAAGTAGAACAAAAACACTCACAATTCACTTTATTCTTCCATTTGTTTTTTCTTGAAAAGCAAATAAATATTCAGCACCAAATGAACCACGAAGCAGTTATTCATAACTCCAGCATGATTCTGTCATTCTGGACCAGAGGAACCCGGTGGACCATCAGGAAAAGGTCTGCTGGTAGCTTCATCTCTTACAGAAGACACACACGTTCAGACGTGCACTTGCCCTTGTACACTAGTGCTCTGGAGCGAGCCAAGCTGCTTCCCACATCTGAACGCCCACACTGTGCATCATGAAATAAACATGGAACCCGACCGCTCCTCCTTGTCATTGTTCTTTGAAAATGAATTGAAGCAACTGCAGGCCAATGTTAATGCTTTGTTTTAGCCAGCGGCAGGCAGATGAAACGAGCTGCACGGGGCGCCGAGCTGACAGTAGCCACTGGCGCTGCAGGAACACACACACACACACACACAGAATTACAAGGATGCATGCACACTCTGCCCGCAGAGCCAACAACAGATGAAACTCCAGCTGAAGACGGTCTCCCTGCAGGAGTACTGGCTTTGGAGAATGGAAGCTGATTGCGTTTACTCTGCATCCTTTTCTCGTCATCGATTCATGGAAAATCACGTCTGAATCCCAGACGTTACTGGTGATGACAGAAACCAGTCCTCCCAACGCAATCCCAGATCTTTCTGAAATAAAAGAGCACTTTGCATGTCTGCTCACGTGATACAAGAGTCCCCAACAACACTGGACCTGGGCCCGCAGCGGGGGGGCGGGGCTCCGGCAGCTTGCAGGCCTTGATGACACAGTTATTGAATTAATTTGTAATTGTGGAAAATAAAAACACATCAAATGATTTTCAGACGTTTGGGTGGAGGTTGAATTTTCATCCAGACTTGTTGCTTTTCACACACATCTGTGCTTGTTAGAACTTGTGGTGAAAGGGGTGAAGGCTAGCCTGGCAAGCCATCCCATACAAGTGAATGTATAGTCTGGCCACGACCCATAGACAAAGCTCAGTTGTGAGGGCGGGATCTATGGTTGTCTTTCAAACCGTCTCTGCATGCTGTTGGACAACAAACAACGTGAAGTGCTCTCCGCTGCAGATATCGGTCAACAGGGCAGTCTGTCTGCTCTTGACTCACAGAAAAGCCAGGGTCTAAATAGTCCTTCATAGACTGTTTCTTCTCCATTTAACATAGTTGGTGACGAGCAGCAACAGGCGGAAAACATGCCAGTGGAACTTCAGAATAAAGCAATTTTCAAAGTAAAAGTGTGTTTGTCACGTTGAGGTGTGGGTGGCGGCGGACCATGTATGGTGGAGCTGACCAGGAGGCAGAAATGCAGACTCAGATAACATAAAATGGATTTAATGACAGAGGACAAAGCAGGAGCAACGAGACACGACAACAAACGACAACAACGACAACGATCCGACAAGGGACACATGCAAGATGGGAGGTATAAATACACAGGGAACAATCAGAACCATGGGCAGTTTA